ATGAACCTCCAACCACCTCCAAGTAACCCTAAACCCTAAACCCTAAACCCTAAACCCTAAACCCTCTCTTTTTAAGCCCTTCCACCCCCGGGCCTCCATCGGCTGATGGTCCTCGCAACCAACTTCATCGGTCGGCGCTCGAAGAGGATGTAGTCGCCCATTCGGAGGTTCAGAAACCTAAGCCCCCTAGGGTCTAGGGTTTAGGGTTTAGGGTTTAGGGTTTAGGGTTTGCCCTAAGCCCGAATCCCTAAACCCGTCATTCTTAGGGTGGTCTTGCATGGCCCCTTATTGTGGGCCCTGAGTTGGGGGGAACCCTTCTAATACCCCTTACATACCCTGAGATTCATCTGCCTTCGGTTCTCCGATGGAATTTTGGGGATTACAGGGCTTGTAGGGCGCATAAGGTCATAGGGCCTGAAAGGGCTTGTAGGCGTAACATTACTCTATATATATTCCAATAAACTTCAAGCACGACTGATGCCCTCGAACGCCACTGTATTCGAGATTTGTTCTTTTGATATTGAGGCTTGCCTCGTCATGCGCTCCAGGCCTTTCAGGCAAGCCTTGCTCAGACAGAGACAGAGCATGCGAGCCCCATGTGGTACAAGAGCCCGGTCCACATACCCTCTTGAAGACGCTTTGCTACAGGGGATCTGACTCCTAAACGCCGCAAGTTCAATTGCAAGCACGTGCTGCTGGATCCAGATCCGAGGCACTCCAGCCAAAAGCGATACCTTCACCAGTGGGAGGTACTTGGAGGTTCATGGTACGTACTAACCAATTATAACCTGTACTTATAAAACCATTTATAAGCCCCCTACGTGCCCTAACATGGTTATAAGTACAGCTTTAGGTACAGTTAGAGTTGGGTTACTAAGTACTATGAACCTCCAAGTAGCGGCATTCAGGGTTACCAGTTCCCCACTGGAGGATGGAGCTTTCCAGCGGGAAGTGTGGTAGGAGCAGTGTTTCTAGGGCCTCCCTTGGACCTCAACTTCCCGGCACCCCGAGAAATTCAGAAATTCAGCCGCAAAACCCGCACTCGCCGCACTCTTCCAACTTCGAACCCGCCCCCCCCACATGCAAGAAATATCCTAGAGCAGGTCTATCTAAGGTCCCTCTTGAGTAAGGCTTCAAGAACAGGGGGGGGTCCTACACCCTACTCATGGGGGGCTTGCAGCAGGGCGGCCGTGCCCGATCCAGCATGCCTCGGATCGTGCAGCTTCGGTTTGGTTCCATGGAACCTCTGGGGCATTTTGGGCCTTCATCATAAACCCTAAACCCTGAACCCTAAACCCCCAGAACCTAAAAATCGTCAAACCACCGAGGCGTCCTCCAAAGCCCAAAATCCTCTGGAAAGCTGAACAGAGCCCAAGACGCCCAAGACCCAGACTTAACCCCGAACAGCCCTAGGGTTTAGGGTTTAGGGTTTAGGGTTTCGGGTCTCTAGGGTCTTACTTGGAGGTTCCTGGGTCTAAGCGGGGTTATAAGTAGAGTAACTATACTTGTAACTGCTTGTAACCTTCATTAGACCACTTACTAACCCTACTTATAACTACCCATGAACCTTCAAGTAGCCTTAAACCCAAAACCCAAAACCCAAAACCCTAAACCCTACTGGGGTAAGGTAAGCAAGGCCACCGATGATGAAAGCATCCGTGGCCGCCGCGGCAAGAGCCGCGCTCTTGGCAAGGCTCCGCCAAGACCTCTTGGGGGTTTGGGGTTTAGGGTTTAGGGTTTGGGGTTTCGGGTTTAGGGGGTGGTAGAACGGTTGAGGGCTTAAGGGCTTTAACATTTAGGGCTGATACCTTTTCTGCTACTGCTAGGGCTCACATGAAATAAGGATTCCGACCAAGCTTGTTGCACTGAAAGGCTTTGTGGATTAGATCTTCGTCGGGTTTCAAGCCTAGCGGCATGAGATCTGACGACTTTTAGGGTTTAGGGTTTAGGGTTTAGGGTTTAGGGCTAGCGAGCACCGGGTCTAAGATCTCGGCACGGCACTAATATCGGGGCCTTAAGATTTAGAATAGGATTTTGGGGGGCTGTTCTCGTATATTTTATAGGGAACATACAGTAAGGAATACTTTTTAGTAATTCTTCTGACCCCTATATTGCCCTTTCCCCTGGCTCAAGGCACTCGTTCCCTCCCTGGGCTTGCTCCAGTGGGCGAACACACCCAGACATGCCCAGTTGTCCAGTAACCTGGGGGAATTAAAGGTTAAACTTTGGGATTATGGGGATTATACAACCCCAAAAAGGTTAAAGGTTACCTACTCTACTACCAGACATGCTTGTGCTTCCATGTGCGCCGGAAGACTGATCTGCCATGAACACTGAAGCCCAGGCGTCTACCTCGAAAGTCCCAAGAACTTTGCTTTCTTGCTCCTTGCTTTTGCGCTAACGTAGTTGAAGACTTCAACCCTCACCCCTCCCACGCCGAGACAAGACCCGAGATGGTCAAATCGCCGCCCAAGGGGCGGTGTATCCACAAAGCCTGTCTTGTCACTGCCTTCCCGCACAGGCACCAGAACCAGACAAATTAAGTGGCAACCCCCCCCCCCCCCCCCCCCCCTGGCGTGTACCATACTCCCCTTAGAACCGCAACAAAAATACTATTTTTTATATCCTCTTGGCCTTTATATAAGCAAAAATAAATAACAACAATTCCCAAGGGGGATAGAGTGTGTAAGGGTTTCAGGGACTATTTTTAATATCCTCTTGGCTTTTATATAAACAAAAATAAGAAATAATTCCTAAGGGGGATATAGTGTGTAAGGGTTTCAGGGACTTGGGCTTCAGAAGGATCCTCCGCTTCGGGGCTGATGGGTTCGTTGAGGGCTCACGGCCTGGCGAAAGTCCCCTGGGGTCGGGTTTCTCTTTCGACCCTCCTGTTGATACCTGTAGACTTGCTGACGGCTTAGTATATATTTGCCTTAAGAACCCCAAACCCTGCTTTCTTGTAGGCTTTTGGTATATAACCCTTATGGAATTCTCAGGTAAGCTACAAAAACTAGGTTTTGGTTTCTTACGGTCGGGTTCAGAGGATGGCTTGGAGAAGCGTGCCGCTGAGCCGGCAAGGGAATGGCTGAGGGCACCACCTGTGTGAAGCGGGCTCATGGAGATCTCCGTTATCCTGGGCCCAAACATGTCCCTAAACCCTTTTTTAACCCAGGACTCTGCCCTAAACCCTAAACCCTAAACCCGAAACCCTAAACCCTAAACCCTAAACCCCACAGCCCTCTAAGGGCTCTAAGGTTGGCTGGGTTGCAGGCAGCTGCATCCTTATGAGCGCATGTCATGCAGCAACCGATCAGCACATGCTGCACGATATTCGTCTACATTGTTCTACTAATTGCTTAAGAATCCCCCAAGAAATATTCCTTACTAAGCTAATATAGGACTTATTGTTTTTTGTTGTATTAATTCTTTTGGGGTTCTTAAGCAAATTGTAGTGCTGGGTTCAGTTGCAAGCATGCACACGAATAAAATCACAACTAGTTTCGAAGGCACACAATCAGACGGAGGTACCCAACATACAACAGCCAAGCAAACAGTGAGAAAAGTAGGCGCTGCAATATGTTAACTCCTGCGTAATGCCATCCAGACAGATGGATGGATAAACGGCACTTTCTTCGAGCCTTGCCTCATCTTCATGTAATATAGGGGCCTGAAAATTAGAATAGGGTTTTGGGGGTTGTTATCGCATAATGATAAAGGGGCTACAAGGAAATAATATTCGTCAATTATTCCGACCCCTATAGTACCCAACATGTTGATGGCAACATGCCACATGCTAGAAGCGGATCTTGCAGTGACCTGACTGACCTGCCAAGGTTTGTAGTACAAAAATGAGTACCGACGTCCCTCAAACTCTGTATGCCCGAAAACCCAAATACTACTGCGAATGCCACGATACCGAACTCCCCCTATAATATGCAAGAATGACGAGTGTCGCAATCTCGTCCCCGGGTTGCCGGAAGTCCGTCACAGTGCCAGTAAAGAGGAACAGCGGGCAGTAGTCATTGTCCTTGACGTCCGACCTCTTCTATTTGGTGGATTGAGGCGGCCCTACCGCATGTCTCAAGCGCATCCCACTGCGCGATCCATGAGCCGACATCCGTCAGAGATCGGCTGAGCAGCGAGGAATTCGGTCTTTCGGAAATTAGGGTGCAAGTGCAGAGCCTTTGGTGTGGCCCAAGGACTGTACAGCTTCAAAACACTCCAAAAACCCCAGAAGGTAAAGATGCCAATGTCGCTCGTTTTTCTGAAGCATGGACTGAGGGCCTAATACACCCCAAACCCCTCCCCCCCCCCCAACCCTAAATCAAACCCCGCCCTAACCGCCCACCCTCCCAAACCCTAAACCCTAAGGATCAAGCCCTTAAACTTCTTACACACAAAGGCCCTGGCCACGTCTGATCTTTTCCCCCCTCGAAGTACGCCTTCTGGAGGCCTTGGCCAAGAGAAGCCGATGGGCTAAGCTCTGGGGGTTAGGGCTTAGGGTTTAGGCTTTTAGGGCCCCCCCCCCCAATAGTCTGCCTGGTTTAGAATATAGGTTGGGATGTTCCCCCTTATGCTAGCAGCCGCAACGGGGATTATAATAAGGGGTACTATAGTCCTTGTTCAGGACTGTTAGTAATTCGTATAAGAGGGAACATCCCAAGGTATAGGGTTTAGGGGTTATAGGGTTTAGGGTGCTTGGTTTGGGGGGGAGCTGGGATTTCGGGTTGAGATGATTTAGCATACAGGGCACAACACTTCTTGTGCATGGTACCAAGCTGTTTCGACGCTGCCCAAAAACCTTCCATGCACACACTCAGTGCAAATGCTACATCCTGATGCCTAGCGTGTGCCTTCCCGGCCTCCCACCAAGTCCTGAACCCTTCACGCTGAGGCCACAGGCTCCGCGCGTAGAACGTGTGGGACACGGAGTGCAGGTGATGGTAGAAGAGAACGATCAGGATGGCACCTATGATCCCCAACAAGCTACTGTAAGCCCAGGAGCAGGAACAGCTGTCTGCCTGGTGCTTGGACAAGCACGGTGGCGCTTTTATCGATGTGCCTCAAGACTCCCTCAAACCCATAAAAGCCCCTCACAAACACGGGCCTGTGTAGCTCTATGCTTCAGGTTGCCCAGGTCGAGGCTTTGTGAAAGGTGGCAGAAGCTTCAGGGCTGGGCGCCTCCATGGGCTTGTAAGCCACGGTCCATTACGTGCCCACGGAGGTGGACCACAGCTGCTACAGCTGTGCCAGTGCACGCAGCATGCGCATCTCACTCTGCTGCCGAGGAGCAGCAGAAGGTCGAAATACCAAAGCACATGTACCATTCCTAAGCGGCGTGCACCAACCAATAGACCTCACCTCTACCGGTAAAGACAGGAGGCATCCACCCAATGCAATGCAAACAACACCCTGACAATCTCTCTGAGATAAATCGGGCGTCCATGGGCTCAGGATTTAGAGCGTTTACTGCGAGCAGAAAGAGGCTTTGGTGCTCCGATGGCTTCTGCATTGACCCATGCCCTCAAGTATAATCAGCCCTCAGCCTCAACAAAAATCTAAAGCCCCAAAACCCCAAACCCAAAACCCTAAACCCCTAAACCCTAAACCCTAAACCCCAAACCCTAAAGCCCTCAACACCGCATGAAATGGAACTCTGAGCTCTCATGCGCTCTCATGTTGCCCAAGGCTCCGATGGTGGGCCAACGAGGCCATAAATGTAGCTCCTTGCTTTGCAAAAAACCTTTTTGGTACCCAGGCTCTGAGCATCAGCTGGAAACCCTAAACCCTAAACCCATAACCCCTAAACACTAAACCCAGAAACCCTAAACCCTAAGCTCGCACTCTGCAGGTCAGGCAGGAATGGTTGCAAGCTTCGGGTCCCTGAGGAAGAGGGCGCGCAATGTACAACGGCAGCCTGGACTGTAAGCTCCAAGCCTGATAGCCCTAAACCCTAAACCCTAAACCCTAACCCCGAAACCCTGCGCGAAGCCGAGTAGGGTTCCCGGCCGTTGTAGCAAGAGACCCGTCATAGCATTCCCAGGTGCTCGCTTAAGTAAGGATCACAGCTGCCCACGCGGAAGCACAACAAAGCCTCTACTAGGATGGCCCCTCAAAGCCCTCTGAAAAATATTCCTATCTATAGCCCTCCTCCCAATTAGGGAACAATAAAAATATACCAAGGGCCTACCTAGTCTAGCTAGTGCGCTTGGGGGGTTTGCGAAATCAACGGCACTGTCGTCTTGCCCGAGATTCCGCCGTGTAATCACCGAGAAGATGCGATGTTGCACCACGCAGCCCGTCACCAGCAGGGCACTCACCTCTCTGTTTGGATTTTTAGAGTTAGGGTTTAGGGTTTGGGGTTTAGGGTTTAGGGCTAGGTCTGCCGTTTCAGACTGCGGGGTCAGGCGTCCGACACCACCTGCCTCAACTTGACAAAGCTACATGCAGTCTTGCTCAGATACACAAACCCAAGCACACTTAAGGTAGCCAGTAGCCACGGACCGACTACTAAGTTGAGCCTCTATTACACCCTAAATCCAAAACCCTAAACGGGTTAATGGGTTTACAGGGTTGATAGGGTCAATAAGGAAGACCCTACCAAAAAAAAGTAGGTGCTGGGCTCTTGAGTCTTGAGGTGGGGTTTAGGGCTTAGGGCTTAGGGTCTAGGGTTTAGGGCTTTTAGGGCTTTTAGGGTTCAGAACTAAGCCAAAGGAGCCGGCCCCAGGAGGGACAACACGCGCAGGAAAATGCCGCGGATCAAGGGGTTCAAGACCAGGGCCACGAGCCTCTGCTGAGGGCTCTTCTTTTTAGGGTTTAGGGTTTAGGGTTTAGGGTTGGGGGCTTTTGGGTTTAGGCGGTTTGTTTGCCACCCGCCCAGCACTCGCGCACGGGTTCGGGGTTTAGGGCTTAGGGTTGGGGGCCATAAGGGTTTCAGAGTTCAGGCTTTTGCAGCTGTAAAGGTTGTAGGGTTTGGGGGCGGCTAGAAGGGCTTGAGAGTGTATAGGGGCTATGTACGTAGGACCTTTGGGTCTATGTGAGTAACTCTCTGTGTTGCATTTGCAGCGAAAACCGTTTCAAGTGTTTCAAATGTTTCAATTCCCGTGAAACACCCTGAAACGGTTCTCTCTCCAGAGAAAACCGTTCCACTTGAAACACTTGAAACGGTTTCCTCCCTAGAGAAAACCGTTTCAAGTGTTTCAAGTGTTTTAATGGGTCGGGGAATTCCCACCTCCCCCCACAATTTCGTTTCAAGTGTTTCAAAAACCCTTGAAACACTTGAAACGGTTTTCTCTGGGGCCAGTGGGTTTCCCCCAACCCATTAAAACACTTGAAACACTTGAAACACTTTTCTGTCCAGAGAAACCCTGTCAAGCATTTCTGTTCAAGTGGGTCGGGCAAGTTCCACCTCCCTACACAAAACCGTTTCAAGTGCTTCAAGTGTTTCAAAGATTCGCGTTGATACTGCGAAAAGATAAGCTGTCTCCTTTCGGAAGGAGGAGGCTTTCCACCTCTTACAAAACATTGAATATTATGATTATGAAATACACTTCTTCCATTCTCCGCCGAGAAGGGAACCTCTCAGTCCATTCCGTCAGGGAAAGAGGAGAGTGGGAGAGGAAAGAGGACAAAAAGAAAAGAGAGCGAGGGTAAGGGGTCAGAGTTTAGGGTTTAGATACTATAAGGCTTGTCTTGCTTAGGGTTTGGGCGCTTTAAGGGTTCTAGAGTTTAGGGTTGAGGGGCTATAGCGGTTGTAGAGTTTAGGGCTTAGGGGCTAGAAGGATTTTAGGGTTTAGGGGCGACACGGGTTCAGGGCTTCACGGCGTTTTGGAAGGGTCATGATAATAAGGCCTCTTGGTAGTGGAGAGACGCAAGCGGCTCTTTCTGCTTCAGTGCTTCCCAGGGCGTTTTGGTTGCGGGGTTTTGGGGCTTAGGCTAGAAAGTGCATAACATGCCAAAGGAAACAGCATGCTGGTTTTGGGTTCAGGGCATAGGGCATTTCAAAGAATTGAAAGCTAAAAGGTGAAAAAGGGAAGGCACAAACCTCCTACTTACATGGCAAAGGGCACTGCTCGAGTCTATAAGACTCGCCGAGACTTAGGGACCCTTTCTTGTAGTGATAGGAAGGTCCTCACCTTCCCCCCCCCCTCCCCCGCCCCCTCCCCCGCCTTAAAGCAAGTAGGGATTTTTTTTGGGGGGGGGGGGGGGGGGGGCCTAAACCCTAAACCCTAAACCCTAAACCCTAAACCCTAAACCCTAAACCGCTGCTTCTCCAAGATAGAGCTTGGAGGCATGGCTGCAACGATCATCAGCCCAATGGAGGTAGAGCCCAAGGCAAAGGTCAGGCGCTTGAGGATGTCGTGCCTTGCGCTTTATGTGGAGGTTCAGGGATTGTAGGGTTTAGGGTTTAGGGTTTAGGGTTTAGGGTTTAGGGTTTAGGGTTTAGGGTTTAGGGTTTAGGGTTTAGGGTTTAGGGTTTAGGGTACTTAATACCCCATGGATCACTGTACTTGTAACCCACTCATAAGCCCCTTAAGTGCCCCAATATGGCTATATTTAGGTTATAAGTGCAGCTAGTATTGGGTTATTAAGTAACATGAACCTCCAAGTAGGGTTGACTCTGCCACCCAAACCATAAACAATGCTCCGCCGGGGCATGCTGGCTTGACAGAACTATGCTTGGAGGTTCATGGGTAATTACAAGTGGGGTGATACGTAGGGTAACTATGCTTCTAACCTTGTTGAGAGTACTTATGACCCAACTGATAACGAGTCATGAACCTTCAAGTAAGGTGGCACGAAGTCCTGAACTGTCGGAAAATGCTCTGACAGCTTGCGCGGGGAAGGTCCACATGCCGGAGAACATGCCAGACACACACACGCCACTTTGCGGCTGCGTGCCACCCTACTTCATGCGGCCTACAATTTCCAAGCCCCAAATCCCCTGAAGTGGCCTTCCCTATACCCCCCCCCCCCCCCCAAAAAAAAACAAATCCCTACAGTATATTGCCCTTATAAGGAATCTTTTCCTTTTTTGAGGGATTCTTAAGTAAGCAAGTAGTAGTCTAAGCCAAATGCAGCCAGCCGACAGGAGGCTGTTCACCTTTAGGAGGAGCTCCACGCTCCTGGCCATCATCTTCCCACTGATTCCCACATCAGGACTTTGGGGGTTTAGGGTTTAGGGTTTAGGGTTTAGGGCTGCTATAAAACACTTCCCGATCAGCTTGAGGGCAACGTGTCAAAGGCCTTTGGAAGACCTTGAGCTTGTTGGCGGTCCCTGCTGCAGCACACCAATGCCGCAAGAGTGCCATAGGAAAACCATAAGACATCAAGGGCAGTGTGGAAATAATACCCCTGAAAAGCTTCATGGTAACATGTGCACCCACATTGCTGAATCCCCAACAAAGCCTCCTTCTGGCAGCAAAGGACAAGGACCCCATGCAAGACCTCATAGTGTGGGCCGTTAGAAGGGGACCCCTTATATACCCCTCATATACCCTGTACAAATTCAGGTCCCATAAATCAGAACCTTTAGAGGAGGTAAGGGACCATATTAAGGGCCCATGAACTATGAACCTACCCTGAAAAAGATGCTCACGACCCGCGCACGCGCAGGCAAGGCTCCAGGAGTCCGAAACAAAGTGACAGCTTAGGGGGTGCTAACCCTTTTATGAACAGGGTTTAGGGTTTAGGGTTTAGGGTTTAGGGTTTAGGGTTTAGGGTTTAGGGTAGGACGCAGCGACCTGCCTCAGCTTCAACAGCTCTGTTGACTGCGACTTGATCTCGGTCCTGGCGATGGGCGGTGCGTTTCCCTGGGTGAGGGAGTTCTTCTGCTGAACACATCCCCATAATGAACCCTATAAAGGGCCGTTTAAGGGATTATAGGGTATAATAAAATCCCCATAATGAACCCTATAAAGGGTCTTTTAAGGGATTATAGGGTGTAATAGCCCATCCTGGTTAAGGGAACTCCAGTGTAGATCTCCACGCAAAGCACGAAGATTCCTTGTTGATATCCGTGGGGACGGTGGAGGCATAATGCTCGCATGAAAGAAGCTGAAACGCTTCTGCGCATGGAGCCCCCTGTGGTTTGGTTGCGCGCAATGTTTCGATGCAGCAACCTGACTGATGCCCGAAAGAACGCGAAGAGGAATTATCAACAACCGTAAATCCTGAGGTGTCATTGACCCTTTTGAGCCCTTGACCCTTTTTTCTCAAACCCTAAACCGTTCTGAGCACCAAACCCATATTTAGGAGAGTGTCAGGTCGTACACTGCGCTAGCATGTCGGACGGCCTTTTTCAAGTCCACCCGAATCCCTTGATGCCCTAATGTACCTTGGGGAAATAGGTTAGACTGTAATTAGGTAGGGTTGCAGCCTTGGATCCTTACAGTCTGGGGTGCAAGTGGCTTCCCGGCCCTAACCACAAAGCTCCGGAGAGAGAATAGAAGTCTTGAACTTCAGGCGGAACTACCCTAAACCCTGAACCCTAAACCCTAAACCCTAAACTAAACCCTAAACCCTAAACCCCAAACCCAAGAGTGCTTCGTGGGCCTCCACGCGGCCAACCCTGGGACGGTCGCGTTCATGACCAGCTGCTCGGAAGGAGTAAAGTAGTCTCGGCTGAGGGCTGATAACCCCGTTAGGGTTTAGGGTTTAGGGTTTAGGGTTTAGGGCAACGCCGGGAAAGCCTACCACGAACGCTGCGCTTACAGCGTGACGCGATACATGATTAACACTTGGGGCGTTTACGCAATTAGGGTACTGTTTTGGGGGTCCTTATTATAAGGGGATCCTATTTCTGCAGCACCATCTCCGAAGAGCGAGTATCGGGCGCCAACGTGAAACCGGACACTTTGGGTCTATATTGGGGTCCCCTACTTTCGTAAACTCCCATTGCAGCCCTATAAACCATGAAATGTGTCTTCAAAAGTTAAACAATGAGGGGTTAGGCATCAGGTGTCTGCTCGCCCTCCGGCTTACTGGCTTACTGTGACTAAGCTATTTAGGGTGAAGTCCCTTTACTATCCCCCAGAGTGCATGATTCAGTAATCTTGGTGGGGCAACGCACAAGAGGCGTTCGATTCAGTGACTCCAAAAGAACGAATGTCTGAGTTCTTGCTAGACTTAAGAGTGACCCTAGGAATACAAAGGGCACCCTTTTTGGTTTCAAGATGAAGGGGCTTCTAAGTGGAAAAGCCCCCCAAAAAAGGAACAAGGAATGCACAGGTGCCCTTTTTGGGTTTGAGATCCAAGGGCTTCGAAGTTTATAAGCTAACCTACCACACCCCAAAAAGGAACAAGGGCCGACTCTGGGTCCTAGCTTGGTACTGTGGCTCAGGCATGGCAGGGCCACGATTGGCCACGCGGCTGTCGAAGTATGTTGAAGCCCACCAAGGAAGTCCGTCATACAAGTCCTGCGGGTTGGGATGGGTCTCCTTATACGAACAGTCCTTAATAGGGATTATAATAGGAGGGTAAGGACTGTTAGTAGAAGGGGGGACATCCCAACCTGAGGGCGCTGTGGCCAAAGGGATTTCTTCAGACCCTAAACCTTAAACCCTAAACCCTAAACCCCGTATCTGAGACGTCCTACACCTGGCCTCTGCTGCCTGACGAGTCCCATCAGACGTGGCCCTCTGAAACAGCCCTGCTGAAAGCACCTATACCCCTGAATGTCCCGACAGGTGCAGTTGAAGTAGACCAGGCCATCTTGAAAGATGGTTTTTCTACCTGAGCGTCTCAGGCTCAGAGCCACGGTTTAGGGTTTAGGGTTAGGTCTTCAGGGCATCAGGGCAGACGTGTAATTATGGGAAGGATCCTTAAGGGAGGGGGGGCTTCATGGGGAGTCAGTACCTCGGGAACCTTAGAGAAGCTTAGGGAGCCCTAGGGAGTATTTGGGTTACATCCCCGCCCTCTCCCTTAAAGACATATATTAGTAACGTAACAAACCCAAGCCGGTGCGTCTTCATTTCTCTCGCCTCCAGGCACCCAATATTATCTTTTGGCAAGACACATGCTCCCTCCCCCCCCGCCCCCGCCCCCCCCGCGCCCCCACCCCCCCCCAGCCCCCCCCCCCGGCCCGCCCCCCCCAAAAAAAAAAAAAAAGGCCTCAAAGATGCCTTGGGTGCTTGACATTGAAGTCAAGAAGCGGATGTAGTCCTTGCAGGAGTCGAGGCGAGATGGCGTGCTGTCCAGCTCAGCAAGAAAGGCTCCTGTCAGGGTCCGACGTTTGGTATGGTGGGGTATAGGGGGTACAGGGGTATATAGGGCGTACATGGGGTGTAGGGTCCTGCGCGTTTGTTTTTGGGGGTCATGTAGGGGCTTTGGGGGTCCTGGAGTTTCATTCTGGGACCCGAGTCTAGGCTCAACAATGTTGGGGCTTGGGATGTTCCCCCTTATACTAACAGTCCTTAATAGGGATATTGCAATAAGGGGTACGAGAATCCCTATCAAGGACTGTTGGTATAAGGGGGAACATCCCAGGTTTGGGCTTCCCAGGGTCCCGTGATCAGAACCCAGATCACCAGCTGAATCACGGATACCCGGACCTTGGTAGCCCAATAACCATATTAATAATAAGGGCACCCTTTTTGGGGTTGACTATTTTGTAAGGGAACCCATGTAAACAAATGTGTGAAAAAGGGTACCACTGGGCCACCAAGTGACGACCACAGCTCGCATGCTGAGCATGAGCTGTGCAATCCGGGGCGCCTCCCAGCTGACCCAACTTGGAGGTTCATGGGCACTTACATAGCCAACCCAACTTATGATCACAATAGGGGCACTTAAGGGGCTTACAAGTGGGTTGCAAGTACAGTTTGAATTGGCTTATAAGTACGATGAACCTCCAAGAACGGGGCTCCCGCGTGGATGTTGCGGGCTTTAGGGGTCTAAAGGGTCGACACCCCAAACCACTTTAAGCAGCTTGATTGGGCTGGGCTTCTTATGGGTTTAGGGTTTAGGGTTTAAGGTTTAGGGTAGAAAGTCGTGCAAGATTCAGGGGTTGTTTAGGGGGCTCGGCCTCAAGCAGACTGATTCGAGGCCCGATGGCCCCCAACAGAAAGTGAATTCAGCCAAGGCCAAACAAAATACAAAATTAAGCGTAAATCCTGAGATCCACACCCTCAGTTGGCACCATTCCGGGGGGTTAAGGTTTGCACGCGGGTTGTCTTGAGCTGGCGCTACCGGACAGAGAAAAAACAACCGCCGGCACGTTTTGATTGCACCATAATATGGCTTTGACGGCCGGGAGCTGGTCTAAAATTGTGAGCTTCCTTTGGCAACCTCAACTCTTGTCGGGAAGATACCGAAATGGAGATCCTAAAAGGGCCAACGTTTAAATCATACCGCAATGGGGCCCCCTAAAATCTTTACAACCCCAAAACCCCTCAACCTTCAAGCTGTGTCATATCTTAAACCCTAAACCCTAAACCCCAAACCCTAAACCCTAAACCCCTGAAACCCTCCCAAACCCTTAAAGTTCAGGTGTGCCTCTCCGGGGGGATGCCTCCAGACATTGCAGACCTTGATGGCCGAAAGGAGCCACAGAACACAGCCGGAAAGGACGCAGATGAGCCTGAGAAGAGCTGGCCCACGTTAGGGTTTAGGGTTTGGGGTTTAGGGTTTAGGGTTTAGGGTTTAGGGCGAGGTGGGATTTACGTACCCTTATAAACCCTAAACCCTAAACGGAGTCGAGCATACAGGGAGAACTAGAGTCCTGAGGGATTTAATTACCCTAAACCCTAGACCGGATATGGATCATAGAACCATAGTCATCAGAGTATGTAGGGGTCCGAGGGCATTTGAAGGGCTAATTGATTAGGCTTTAGGTTCCTGAGCGACACGAGCGTACCTACGCAGACCAGAGGGCAACCTGTGTTTTACGACATTAAGAATGATTTGCAGGGAGCTAGAAAAGCAAAGACCCCAAGATTGATGATTGAGACATTTCTGGTGCGCAACGCAGGCCCTGGATACACCATTTAGGGTTTAGGGTTTAGGGTGACGCAAACGAAGAGTACCAGTGACGAGATTGCTTGCCACCCGCCAAGCAGCTTAACAAGCAGCCTCAAGCCCTAAACCCGATAAACCCCAAACCCTCAAAAATCCTAAGCCCTAATGTACCCAGTGATGATGTACACTTTCCAAATCAAGGTCGTACCAGGCTTTAGAATTTAGGGTTTAGGTCAAACCGAAAGCCGGCTAGGGTTCTGACTCGTGGCCCCAGGGGTCTGGATCTAGGGGTAGGAGAAAAAGGCCCCCGCCCCCGGAAAAGCCCTCAACAAACCTTGACACCTGAATTCCCCTAAGCCTTTCCTTTCTTTTTTACCCCCTAAGCACTTAGGCATTAGAAAAAGCCGAATGTCCCCAACCAGAAGTCCGGCTAAACCCCTGCAGAAGCCTTTTCGGATGGTGGGTTCAGGGTGTACAGGGTTTAGGGAATTGGAAAAGGAGATTTCAGCCCATCTATAGTGTTTAAACGTTACCTTGTAGGTTCCCAGGCCATCTAACCTATAGGACACCTTTCAACTCGTTCGCACCACGTCAGCCCTGAACCCTAAACCCTAAACCCTAAACCCTGTAAACAAGTGAACCACAGCATGCGCCACCACTGGGGAAGCCGCAAGAAGGTCAGCGACCGCGCCGACGGCCCCCAAACGCTGAAGATCTCTATCTCGGCGGGCGCCAGGGTTTAGGAATACAAGGGCCTGAATAATCAGAATATTTGGGGGCTGTTAAAGTCTATTTATAAAGGGACCATAAGAGAACAATTATAAGTAATTATTCCGACCCCTATCTTGTAGGGTTCTTGATTTGGTGCCATTGCCACCTCCATGTGTCTCTATCACATCAGCCCATAGACCGGCCCTGACGCAGAACCCGCATGTCTACCACCAGCCATGGCTTTAGGGTTTAGTCGCTCACTCTCGCACAAGGCAGGCAAGGGCTTTTGGGTTTAGGGTTTAATTCGGGTTAAAAATCTCCCGATGCTTTGCAAGCAAGTCTGACATCTTCCGGCGGCAGGCCTGCTGGTGGAAAACTCCTGATCCTATACCCTAAAAGCAGGCCACTCAAAAAGGAACACCTTCTAAGTACCTACGAGTATGAACCTTCAAGCAAAAGGCCCCTAACTCCAAACATCAAACAGACAACATGAAGTCAGGCTCAAAGCAGAGAGCTCCAGAACCCTAAACCCTAAACACTAAACCCTGAACCCTAAACCCTCATCAGCTCCGCGATTCTCAACCACAACACCTTGATCCAACATCTGAGTCGAAACTCGGAGTGTGTGGGCATGGGTGTGCGTCTGCGCGTGTGTAGTGTGTTGTGTGTGTGGGGGCTCTTTCCTAGACCCCAAACTCTTTCTCTAGACGCCCTGTTTTGAAGCCAGACTGGACTCCGGAACCCCCTGACAAATCCAAAACCCCCAAACGCTTAGGGTTTAGGGTTTAGGGTTTGCACCCCCTGAACCCTGAACTCTAAACCCTGCCATGAACTCTTTGGTCCAGACGGCTGCCATCTCGTGGTCGGGCACGCAAAAAGCCGCTTTCATCCCGAACCCTTCGAAGAGGTCAACTCCTGAACTGGGGTCGGCGACTCAGGGGCTTTAGGGAATTTTTGCCAGGGGTTCAGTTGCGCTTTAGGGGCTTAGGGTTAATTCGGGATGTAGAGGTCTTCGGGTGTAGGGTTCTCGGAAGATTTGGGGTGTGGAGTTTCCTTGCCACCCGCACTGCACGCGGAAGCGCCAACTCCGCAAGGTCCAAGGCTTTAGGGTTTAGGGTGCGCTTGACTGCACTTCAAGGTTCGGGGCTTTTGGGATAGCTTCAAGGTTCTATCCTGCTAGACTCAAGAGTAATCTAGTAATGAAAAAGGTGCCCCTTTTTGGTTGAAAAGGTACGTTGCTCTAAGGACGCCAGGATCTGAGCTGCTTGGACTACCACTGCCCATGTTTCAAGGCTGTTGAAACCTCACAGCAATTTGGCTCTGTCAGCTGCCCTAAACATGTGGTTAGGTTTAGGGTTTAGGGTTTAGGGTTTAGGGTTTAGGGTTTAGGGTTTAGGGTTTAGGGTTTAGGGTTTAGGGTTTAGGGTTTAGGCCGTGCGATCGAAACCGCTTCGTCTGCCACCTGCCTGCAGCCTCGAGCCACTGAAGGGAGGCAAAGGGCTTAGGGCTCCGGAAGCCAGCTTAGTATCCCCTTCTCTCTTAAAAATGGTGCTATAATAACCCCCCCCCCAGAAAAAATCCATTCTAACTATGGCATCTTTATGATGATACTATAATAACCCCCCTCCAACAAAGAAAAAGAAACATTCTAATTATGGCCCTTATGTTAGCAACTCAGCCTTCAAACACCCGAGGACGCCGTGATCCCACCTTCCGTGAAGGGAAAGAGGTAGAGAGCGAAGGCTGTCAACGGGTTGATCAACCTCGATGACAGCAAGTACTCCAATCCGATCACTGTGTAGGGCTTAGGGGTTAGGGTTATAGGCTTTAATTCGAGGGTTTTGGGGGTTTATAGGGAGAGGGTTCTGGGGTTTAGGGGTTAGGGCTTGCTGTGTAGAGGATCCAGGAAGTCGACAGCGCAAAACCCCACACGGCTTGGTCTTCACTGATCAGCGAGTCTTGGAGCTTCACCGAAAGGCGGATGGACCGAAGGTCAAAGGGTGGTTTAGGGTCTAGGATTCCAGTCGGACTTGGGGCTCAGGAGGGTTTGAGCCGGGCGCTGATCAGAAGCCGCCCAAACCTCCGAATTCCCCCCCCCCCCCCCAACACAAAAAAACAAAAACACACGCACAAAATCCAAGCAGCATGGAGAAGAGTCCGATGACTATCAGCAGCGGAAGGTCCAATATGGGGGGCACCAGACTCGAGCCCTCTCCGGCGCTCTGCCAAAGGTTGCCTCCAGGCGCTTCGGTGGCTCTTCTTAAGTCATTCCTTAAGGTTCAGGGTTCAGGGTTCAGGGTTTAGGGTTTAGGGTTTAGAGAGAATGAGGTACCCTAGAATTCCTCTAAGAAAAAAGTGGGGATTCTCAAGGTACGTGATTCAGGATTCAGTGGGCTTTGCGAGCTCATAGGGGGAAACCCTGGGCCCCGTTTGCTAGGGCTTACTTAGGGCTTCAAAGCCTTCAAGAGATAAGGGTGCCTCGCGGCAGCAGGGGCCAACACACTATCTATGTTGGGATGTTCCCCCTTATACTAACCGTCCTGAATAGGGATAACAATAGTACCTGCATTACAATCCCCATTAAGGACTGTTAGTATAAGGGGGAAAATTCTCATTCCGCCTATATACATGAGGCTTGTGTATAGAATCCGCAGCACACCCAAAAACGTTCCCAGAATTATTTCTGCCCTGAGGAAGCGTCGAGAAATCAGACGGCTGCATGAACTACTTGGGAGGGTTCCAGTCAGCTTGGCCCGTGCTGGCACGTGTAGTCACGAGCTCGGGGCTTAGCGACGTCCGCTAATCATCTTGCGAACTCGGAGGCGCTACTATATGCTAAGCCCTAAACCCTAAACCCCAAACCCTAAACTACTATGGCAAATATGGGAATTTGATGACCTCATAGCCCATCCTGGAACGCGCTGGCAGTCGCAGTGTGGTGGTGGGCAGTTCGAGGGACTTTTCGTGGCTCCACACCCCCACGTACAAATCCCCTATCATGCACCATGCACCCCAAAAATACTGGCCTTCTGTCATCCGCCAGGAACCTAGGATGGTCCCTAAAAACCCTCTGAAACATATTCCTGAATATGACCATCCTCTTAAACTCAACAAAAATTGGGGGAGAAATTTACAAAATGTCGCTGAATTGCCTACCGAGCCAGTCTTGCATCCTGCAACTTTGCAATCCCTCAGCTACTCCCGTGCCTCGCTTCAGGTCCCGCACGAGATAGCTGACATTCCGCTGCATCCGGCAGATCTGGGCCCAGGGGGGAATTTACGAGAACAAGGGGCCCCTGATATAGAACCCCCCAAATAGTGGGATCCCCTCATAGTAAGGACCCCAAGAAGGTACCCCAAATCTCGTAAACCCCCAGGTGCACGTGCATTTTCGGATTGTAGTTTCGGATTGTAGAGTCTGGGGGCAACAAAGCATCCCACTACACGACTGCAATCGGTTGGCGTGCTACGTCCGGGGTTGTTGAAGTCTGTGTTTGCAAGAAAGGTGTTGGATAACATGCGGTGGTTCTCAAAGGCGCGGATACGAGCCGGCGCACATCGACTCTGACAGCGACTTCTTCTGTAACAAGGTGCATACTTGGAGGTTCATGGGTAGTGGGTGTTACAAGTAGATTCGTATAGACATAGCTGGTTACGACCAACCTGATTTAGGGCGCTTGTAACCCTACTTATATCTGCCCATGAACCTCCAAGTAGACGGTTGACGGTTCTTATGGTCAACAGGGTTGGCCTGTTTACCCCCGCTCCAACTCTACCTGAAAGGTCAGAAGAACCGCAACTTTAGCTGGACAGCTCCTGTGGCTGAGGCCTTGCCGCTTCATGGTTCTGAAGATTATGATACGGAGCGGCAAGAAGCTTCACTTTCTACTCAGGGACCAAGTGAACCCTTCTTGCATCCAGGCCTGTGAGATGCCGGGCACTGGGCAATCATCGGCCCCCTCCCAGTACCCTAAACCCTAAACCCTAAACCCTAAAACCGCAACGCCCAGAATGGCTTAGGATCTGCGGGCCGCGGGCCGTCTTCGCAGCACAGCGCAGGTAGAAGCTGGTGACCTCGCTGCGGTCCTGGTCGGCTCTGTTTAGGCTTTAGGGCTTTAGGGTTTAGGGTTTAGGGTTTGGGGTTTGGGGTTTGGGGTTTGGGGTTTGGGGTTTGGGGTTGACACGGACTTGAAGTCAATGCGATTTGGGGTTTGGGGTTTGGGGTTTTGGGTTGAGGGTTTAGGGTTTGGGGTTTGGGGTTGAGGGTTGAGGGTTTAGGGTTAAGGGTTTAGGCTCCCCCCCCCACCTCATAACTTCATAATTACCCTGAAACATACCCTTCCAATCCCCTCCCCGGCCCCCAAGTGATTTCCCTTCAAGATAGCCTCATAATGACCTCAATCAAGGAAGGTACCACCGCGGCTCTCATAGAGGGGGGGGGGGGGGGAACTGGGCAGAAAACAACCCTCAACCCGTAAGGTTGAATCGAAGTTAGTGACAATGGCTCTCCGAGCAAGGGATACAGACGTGTGTCATCACCATCTCAGCATCACCATGATCACAGTGAGAAGGTCGCAGGGTCCGAAGCTCAGCCAGCTTAGAGTCTTAGAGTTTACCACAGTGGGAGTCCCCGAGCGCGTGCTGCAGAGTCACGCTGATCATATCTGACAATTGGGCTTCCACGATCAGCTGCACACTTTGCGAAGTGTCGCACATTACCTGAAGCGAAGCCGATGTGTACATACAGTTGGCGACTTCACCTTTCTTCAAAAATGCCCCTGTAGCTTTAACTTTGAACCCTATATAGACCCCTAAACCCAAAGCCTCAAGGCCTAAACCGTTCGGGGTCCTGTGGCTGGGGAGTTTCCGCGGTCAGCGTCGAGGCAAAGGCCGACGCGACGTAGGCGCCCCCTGCCGTCTTCAGAGCGTTCGCCGTGGTGGTTTTAGGGCTAAGGACCCCTAAGCACTAATCCTAAAATGCAGAACTGTGGAGTCTGTACGCTGCAAGAGGGATGAGATGTAGTAGGTGCCACATAAATAAAGCAAGTGGGGGGGGGGAGCGGGTTGGGCGAACCCTGCAACTCTACCCTAAGTCTCGTGGCGGTTCCTGACACCGCCACAAAGTGCTCCACGCTCTGCAGCTTGCCAGCCTGCCACGAAGTGCTGTCTAAAGTGGAGTACTTGCTCGTCCAGCTTGGGCTAGGGGAAGATTAAGGCCCCCCATGTTTGCGATATTGCGTTGAGAATTTGAAAAAAGGGCAATGCAATTACAATTTGCAGTTGTAACAGCTATCGTCATAGAGAGGAACAACCTGCTCTAAACCCTAAACCCTAAACCCGAAACCCTAAACGATCGAAAACTCCTGAGACCGCCAAGACGTCCAACACACAAATCTTGGGGACAAAGTGAACCCTGAAATTGGGCTCAGATACCCAAACCCCGAACCCCAAACCCCAAACCCCAAACCCCAAACCCCAAACCCCAAACCCTAAACCCAAGGTATATAAATCATAAACCCTTTTAGGGTTCAAATCGTCCCCAAGCAAAGCCCACCTGAGCGAGGCGCCACAGCACCTTGGCTGTCCGGAGTTTCAGGTTGGCTTCAGGGTTTAGGGTTTAGGGTTTAGGGTTTCGGGTTTAGGGTTTCGGCCCACCGCAACACCCTACTCCCGACCCCTCCACCCTCCAGCGAGACATGAGTACATGGGAAGGTTCTTCTTGGCTTTCAGGCTTGAAACCCAAAACCCTAAGCCCTAAACCCCAAACCTCAACTGGACTTGCGGACTTCTTTCTTCCCACTCCAAGACTTCTTTCTTCCCACTCCAAAAAACTGTGCAGGCCATTTGGGTTTGTAGGGATTACGACCCCCCACTCCCAAGCTCCCTCCAGACGGGTGTGTCCCAAATAGGGTACACTCTATCATGGTCCCTTTTGGGGTTACTCTTGAAAGGCGGCCTCTAATTCAAGGTACCCAAAAAGACACTATGATTTTGAGAACTGACCATCTACCACACCAAATAGTATCATCCTTGTTGTAGGCACTCCCCAACTAGGGTACTCCCTAAACCCTAAACCCTAAACCCTAAACCCTAAACCCTAAACCCTAAACCCTTCTTACCGAATATGTTGCTCCTGCCAGGGAACACCGGCCTGAAAGGCTGCGGCGCGCACACCTCTCACGGGTTTAGGGTTTAGGGTTTATGGTTTAGGGTTTGGGGATTAGGGGTTTGGGGTTTAGGGTTTAGGGCTTAGGGGTTTAGGGTGTAGGGTTACGGGCCATGGGGACTTCGTGGGATTCGGACTACGCTGCGGAAGCTAAGCATCAACTCGTCCATTCCCTTGTAAGTGGTCAAGCATGGCCAGTGGCCAGTGTTGCGGCCAAATCCCTAAATCCTAAACCCTAAACCCTTTCTGAAATGGTTGACAGGCTCAACCTCTACCTGCAGGTGATAGCAGGATTAGACGGTTTAGAGTTTAGGGTGTTGTTGCCACCCAGGGTTTAGTGTTTCGGGTTTGGGGTTTCCGGAACGGGCTTCACGAAGCCCTGAACGACTATGCGGGTTTAAACGGCGATGGGGACACGCACCCCAAATTGGACTGTGGTCTAAGTCTAGGTCGGCATGCGGAAACCACTTGAGGTTTGCAGGTTGGGATGTGCACGCCTTGGTTTCTTGCTGTAGTCACTGCGCGACATCTGCCGGCAGCTGAAGGGGGATCGAAGCTAGGACCCGACATCTGTCGAAGCTTTTGGGGCATTCGGAGTCCTAGGCTCGTCTACGCCCCGTCAGCCCCACCCATGGCCTCCACCGGAGAAGGCGATGGAGAAGGGGGCTTGCTCTCTGCCAGGCCTGAGACGCGCTTGCTTGCCTCGGGCGTGCAGTGCTGCAGCCAGGGGGGGGGGGGGGGGGTTCACCATTCGGCCCTTGGGATTCAAGCCCGACACCCTACTTGTAGGAGCTTGGTTTAGGGTTTAGGGCATTAGGGTTTAGGGCTTTTGCCACCATTAGGGTTTAGGGCCAGATAGAGCATTCGGGTTGAGGGTCTGGGGCATGAGGGTCTGAACATGCTGGGCACGGTTTTCATACCGCATCCAGCAGCGGCTGTACTTCAAACAAAGATGACTAGATGAACGCTAGACATCCATAGATATATGTATGAGTATACATGTATACCCTGAACCCTAATCCCTAACCCCTAAACCCTAGTCCTAAACCTTGGAGGTTCATGGGTCGTTATGAGTGGGTTAGAAGTAGGGTAACTCTAACTCCAAATTGTTGTAAGCTTATCTAGGGTACTTGCAACCCTACGTATGACTACCTGTGAACCGTCAAGCGAGGGAATGGATCAAGTAGCTCGAGTTCGGGGTGCCTCGCACCTGCTTCCATGAGGGTCTGCGACTTTGTGGTGCTCAATCCTCAACCCTAAACCCGTTTGCACCAAAACTCTCTCTATAGTGCCTGGTAAAATTTAAAAGGCTCAAGCTCTAAACCCTAAGCCCTGAATCTAAACCCGAAACCCGTAAAATCATGGAGGAACTGCATAACTCCCGGACGGACAGCCCAGGTGCGTTTTATCAGCCATCTCTCTTGCCTTGGCTTTTTTGGGGGGAAAGGGGGGACGTTGAGCTTGCAAGACCCGGGATGGGGTAAACCCTAGGCCTAGACCCTAGGCCTAAACCCTAAACCCTAAACAGACAGACAGACAGACAGACACAGGGTGTTTACTTAGCTGCCCAAACACCATGAACTGAATCAGGCACGACAAATTAACAAGACCAAGCAGCCCACCCTCCGTTCCTCTCTTGAAACAAAAAACCATGGACCCTCGAATCTCTAGTGCAATCCATCCCAAGGCTCTCCAAAACCTCATCTCCATCCTTCGTTACGAAGGGCTTGCCTTCCCAGCTTACAGCCCGACCCCCAAAGCACGTCCTGGTCGAGGGGTGCGCAAACAGCTGGAAAGGGGTGCCCCTTCGGGGCCAGGCGGGAACGTGGGGGAACCCGAAACCCTAACCCTAAACCCTAAACCCTAAGGTGTGGGGACCCTGTGATTGCTCGCGGTCTGTCGTCTCGAGGGCTTGTCGGCTGGAGGGGCAAGTGGTTTCTAGGGACTTGAAAGAAAAACCTGCGCCCCAAACCCGATGCACAGTCGAACCCCTTTTTGGCCCCAAGCGTCTGACCCCTGATCCCTAAACCCTAAACCCTAAACCCTAAACCCTAAACCCTCTTTGATGCATAGTCTGAGGGCTGAACCTACGACTGTCGAAGCCTGAAGCCCTTTTCCACCCAAACCGGAACAGAAGGCCCAACTTGAAGCCCCTTTCTACTCTCTAAACCCTAAACCCTGAACCCTGAACCCTAAACCCTAAACCCTAAACCCTAAACTCTCTTCCTGGAAGCATGCTGGCAAGGTGCTGGACGACCTGCCGCAGCTTTGAGCTAGCTTTTCTTAAGCTCAGGCGTTCAGCAGCTTCTGGGGATTTAAGGGTCAAGAGGTCAGGTCGTGTGGCGCCAGGCCCTACAAGTCCTAAGCCTTCCGCACACCAAGGTTGCCGTGAACCATGTTTTTTGCATCCAGGGAACCTAAATCCACAAAATTAAGCCCCAAAAACCTGAGCAGGCACCAGCAAGCCCCAAACAGCCATGAAAAACATATCGGTTTGAATTCGGCCCTTGGGATTTCTATAGGCGACAAATTAAGTCAAGGAGCTTCTAGGCTAAGCAGCCTCAACACAGACAGTATCTGAAGACTCCTCCCCTTTAAAAAACCGAGCCACCCTAAGCTTCAACACCATGCCTGTGTCGTGCGGGCCTAGGACTAGCCTCAAGAGCTAGGAGTCTCAAGGGAATTCATGATGTACAGCTGTTGGGATGCTCCCCCTTATACGAACAGTCCTCAATAGGGATTATCATGGGGAGTACTATGAGGACTGTGAGTAGAAGGGGGGAACATCCCAATATAGCCCTGTATAAGGCAGGGCTGTCACACCCAAACAAGCAGACGGAGGAAGCAACGAAGCCACCAAGGGGAACTGGTGAGGATTTCGGCCCTGCTGACCGCATCTATAACAAATACAAAAACGTACTTATAGAATATGTGTATACATTATACATATATATATATATATATATACAGACATGCCCATATTAAGAACAATAATCTGAATACAAAAAAATATTATGGAACAAACATGTATATATATATATGTAGAGAGAGAGAGAGTAGTAATCTGAAAAAACTGCAGGGCTTCAGCTTTGCAGGGCCTTGGGGTTCTCGGCCTTGGGATTCTCCCCAGGGTTGAGAGTTTGCTTCAGCGCTTGGGGCGGCTTGGAGGTCCAAACTTGCAAACTTTGGGAAAACCATGGGGTAGACATAGGGTTTCTATAGGGCTTTAGGGGTTTTAGATTTTAACGCTTAGGGCTGTAGGGTTTTAGGTTTTCTAGGGTTTCAGAGTTTCCAGGGTTTGAAAATTTAGGGTTTTAGGGTGTTGGGGTTGAAGTTCGACTGCGCCCCCTGCGCAAGATCTCCCATCGCTGCAGACATGCCATTCTGTCGCTGCAGCTGTATGCGCAGAGTTACTGAGAAGGACATGCAGCAATGGGGCTCGTCGGTTTAAGATGCTCCCTAAAACCCTAAACCCTAAGGTTTAAGATGCTCCCTAAAACCCTAAAACCTAAACCCTATAAGGCCTGTTCCCAGCTGAGCTCGCCCTTGCCCGGCTCGCGGCAGAAAGCTGAGGCGCAGCAAGCCTCGTCAAAGCTGTCCTTCAACAAAAAGCCCAGAAAACCGATCAAAGCAATGAACAGACAAAATATCATTATACAGTACATCTGCACACTTACACAAGTATATACATGCATACATATTTATATATATATGTACATATAAACAAATCTATGCATGTATGTATATATCTATTATCTATTTATATGTGTGTGTGTGCCTGGCTTGGGCATCGCCTTCTTGTGCTGCAGGCCCTGTGATTGAAGTCCAAACAAAACCCAGACCCCCCCCCCCAAACTTTAAACCCCGACCCCTACCTAAAAACCCTACAAAACCTTGAACCTAAACCCGAAACCCTAAACCCAAAACCCTAAATCCTACACAGAGAAACTTTGCCCCTCGAAGCGCATGTCCTCGCTCGAGCTGGACCTTTCTGAGAGCTCCGAGATGACTCCGTCCTCCTCCTAGGCCCGGCCGGCTCAACACTCTCAATGCTCCGATGATTGAGGCACGTCAGCCCCCCCCAAAACTCAAGACACCTAAGCCCTTTTTGAGCCCTAAACCCTAAACCCTAAACCCTACACCCCTATCCACCGCCTCCGATGGAGAGTCGCGCTCGGCCGGGGAGTACTCGCGTGTCTGGAGAGGGCGGGAGAAGGTGCTATAGCTTAAGAGCGCGTAATACAGGGGTCGGAATACTATGGAATAATCACTCATAAGTGTTCCTTTATGGTCCCTTTGCAGTTATACTATACTAAACCCCCAAAACCCCTATTAAAATTTCATTACTCAGGTCCCTATATTGAGCAGCCAAAGTCGGCAAATGGTTTAAGCCCAGATGAAGACTACAGGGCTTTGAGGTCTGGGGCCTTGCCTCATGATGGCCATCGAACTTCTCTCTGGCCCTGAAGCTTAAAATAGGGGCCTGAAGAATTAGAATAAGTTTTTTTTTTTTTGGGGGGGGGGGAGGGGGTGGTATTCTGGTACTTTAGAAAGGGACCAAAAGGGAATATTCATGCTAATTATTCCGACTCCTTTGTTACTCTGGAAGGAAGCCACCGGCACTACCATCAGGGAGGGCAGCAAGGAGACGTCCTGGCCGTTACACTTCTTAGTCTAACCCTTGCCTGCGACAGCGGCAGGCTCCAAGTGCTTCCGAAGTGGAAGCTGCTGCCGTTGCGAGTGAGCCTCGTCGATGGCAGCTTAATAGCCCAAACACCCCAAATCTTGAGAGATGCAATCCTCTGATCTGCCGAATACATATGCAAGCGCTGTTCAACCTCTTCAGATTCTAAACCCTAAACCCTAAACCCTACACCCTACACCCTAAACCCTAAACCCTAAACCTTGCTCTTTGAAAATCTGAAGCAAACTTCCTAACAGTAGCCGCCTCGCCTAACACGGCTGCACCCTGGGACCCTAAACCCTAACCCTAAACGCTAAACCCGAAACCCTTAAACCCTACCCCCAGTGAGCGATGCTTTGTCCGAGATCCCGGCCCACGCGCATTGGGGAAATCCTCATGGCTGTCACTGCTGGCCTTCCTCAAACACACACCGGTTTAGGGTTTTGTGGGGTTTCTAGTTTTGCTTTTTTGTTTCTGGTTTTAGGGTTTCTAAGGTTTGGAGTTTTTAGGGTTTATAGGGTTTAGGGTTTTTAGGGGTGTTCGTGTTTATTGTGTGTTGTGCGTGGAAGCCCTAAACCCCCAACTCGCCATAGACTTCCAGCCAGCGAAGTTCCTTCTCACCCGCAAACCCTGACACCTCCAGCTTCCCAATTCTGAGCTCCAGCATCCAAACCCCATAAGGGTTTTTCTAGGGTTTGTTGTTCAGTTTTTTCAGGTTTGTGTTGAAGGTACCCCAAAAGGTTTTTTCTCTCTCCATCTGGGCCCTAAACCCTAAACCCTAAACCTAAACCCCTAGACTCAGAAAGTTCCGGGCAGGCGGCCAGTGCACCCCGCCGATGCTGCCCAGCATTTCTTCAGCTGCCGACCATGGCCGCCGCTGACTCTCATGCGAGGTTTAGGGTTTAGGGCTTAGGGCTTAGGGTTTAGGGTTTACGGTGGTCCTCTGGGGGCTTTAGGGTTTGAACTGCCTCTTTGCTTTAGGGGAGGCGAGGCCGTGATTTACGCCTCCTCGTCAGATGTGGCTAGGACCTAAACCATGAAAACAACCCACGCTCGGCTGCAAGGACTCTGCGGCTTCATTGCAAGCTTAGTGTTTAAGGTTTAGGGTTTAGGGTTTAGGTTTTAGGTTTTAGGCTTTAGGGTTTAGGGCAATAGGCACTTTGCCTCAGTTTGTCAATCGCCTCTTATCGGTGCACGTGGCTTCGTGCTGCACTGAGGCGTTCCGGCTGGTCTATGTCTGCTTGAACAACATGTCGGTAGCCGTGGTGTGTGTGTATACATATATACATACACACACATACATATATATATATATATGAGGGCTTAGGGCTTAGGATGATATGCACACATATGTGTTTGTTGCTTGTCTTGGTAGATGCGCACCTACGGGCGCGTCTAGGCAACTTGAACATATACATACTACATGCACACACACACACTCTCTCTCTCTGTCTCCGCCTCTTGTGACATAGAAAGGTGTATCTCACTCTATATATATATATATATACATGAATGTCTACACCCTTACACGTAAATCAGTTTGTTCCGTCTGTATGCGCACACACAGACACAAAACTCTAAACCCTAAACGTGTGTGCACGTCTCAACATGTTAATTAAAGCACACAAGCAGTACATGTGCCAAGTACTCCCAACACAAACCTTTTTGGAGGTTCATGGTACTTACAACCCAACTGTAACTGTACTCATAACCCACTTACAAGCCCCTTAAGTGCCCTAATGTGGTTATACTTGAGCTACAAGTACAGATATTCTTGGGTTCTTAAGTACCATGAACCTCCAAGTTATTACCCTAAATCCTAAACCCCAAACCCTTTTTTGCCTCTAAACTTATTAAGTGCCATGAACCTCCAAGTAGAAGCCCTGCGAGGCCCGCTTCTGAGGGCCGGCATGCCGCACGCTGTCCGACACCTCGCGTTCGGACTTGAGCTGCTCCTGCACGTCAGCGTCAACAGGCGGACGGGTTTAGGGTTTTTTTTGCCACCCGTCTCTGGGTTTAGGGTTTAGGGTTTAGGGTTTAGGTTTTAGGGTTTAGGGTTTAGGGTTTAGGGTTTGGAGTCCGTTGGCGTGGCGGGCGGTTTCGAACCCTCTAAGCTCTCTGTACCCTAAACCGACCTTACCCGTGCGGATGGGTGCACTTTGAATGCTTCATCTTGGGCTTTCGACATCCGCACACGAAGTTGTCCATGCGAGTCTGTTCGACAGGCGGCGTCTACTTGCTGCTTTAAAAGCGCGAACGATGTGCCGCGCCAAGAACATGTCAGCACACCTGCTTTGCGGTTTTTTTGACTCAGCAGCGCGACGTGCACACCGCAACTCAACACCAAACCTTGGGGACCAAATGAACCTGAAAATTGGGGTCATAGTTCTGATTAAGGTATATGAACCATAAACACTTTTTAGGGTTCATTTCGTCCCCAAGGAAACAAGCACCGCAGGGCAAGCCTCCCTCAAGCCTTCTTAGCCCTTTTTTACCCTAAACCCTCAACCCTCAACCCTAAACAAAAAGGAGCCCCAACCCTAAAAAAGGAAATAAGGGCCCTACTCGGGGTCCTAGCTTGTGCAATGAATCGACCCACAAAGCAACTGCAGGCTCTTTGTCAGATTTGCTCAACATTGCCCCCTTCTGCATGACCGTGGACTGTGAACACCTTCATGCATCGCCGAGAAAACTCCTAACTCTAGAGCCCCTGGTCTGAGATGATAGCTCATACACCCTACTCATCCTACTCACTTAAAACCTTTTCGAACCCGTGCACTTAAAACCTGAAACCCTTTCAAACTCTTCGGCGCCTAAACCAAACAAACTTAGATTCAACCCCAAACCAAACCCCCAAACTCCAACATCGTGAACCGCAACATACATCCAACAGTCCACATTGCACATTGGGATGTTCCCCCTTTTCCTAACAGTCCTTAATAGGGACTCTAGTACGCCCTACTTTGCTCCCGATTAACGACTGTTAGTATAGGGGAGAACATCCCGAAATCCCCAGCTCAACCGCACCTCGGTCTGAGCCCGGATTTCCGCGACGCGTCGTTCCGCTGCCTGCTGCTCCTTGGCGACCTGCACGCAGGGCTTAGGGTTTAGGGTTTAGGGTTTAGGGTTTGAGAGCTCGAACAATTGCACACAGACAATTACACGCACACACATTGATATCAATGTAAAAGTATGTACATAGCAACACGCAGAATTACACAAAAGTAGTTAGATGAAGGCGTAAAGATATGTAAATGAACAATTGAACATATACTTATTTCTCATATGAATGAACGTGTATATTATATATATATATATACACATGTACGTATGTACAATACGCAAAAATCTGCGCGTATAATCGAAGAAGGTATAGCAACAATAGTAGCAATAATAATGGGAATACTGTTTGAAGCCTCGGTTGTAGATCAGTCAAGCCTTGGGAAGTGAGGATTTCTTTGCTAAGCTACCTGGAGATTCAACCCTGGCACCTTTTGGTCAGGGTTTAGGGTTCAGGGTTCAGGGTTTAGGGTTTAGGGCATACGAATTAGGGCGCGCGGGATGTCCGAAAACTCTTGAAATAAGATGTGTCTCTTATAAGTATGAAGAGGCACCCATCCCCCTCAAAGCGCCACCCGGCACCAATAACCAACACCCAGAGACGTCCCCGAGAGTCTCCACAAGGTCTAAGGCTAAGGGATTAAGGCGATGTTGGGGGCTCGGAAGGCTTACTTACTGGCTGAGTTCTCCCTAAACCCTATAGACCCTAAACCCTAAACCCTCCCTGGTAAAAGGGCGGGCGGTCAGCCCGACAAGCCCCCCGCGCGCTACGCCTGCTCATGCGCTTTGTTGTGGAGCTCCGCCATCCTCCGAGCCATAGTTTCCTGCTCCTGATAGGGCTTAGGAACTGTTTAAGAAAGGGTTTAGGGTTTAGGGTTTAGGGCTCGGAATAATTACGAAGACTATTCCCTTCATGGCCCCTGCAGAGTTCCTGCTCCCGGCTCTCTAGTTTGATTTGGGGCTTAGAGCAGGTTAATTGCTCACAGTCCTCTTTCATCCGCTTGTTGCAGTCTGCATGGAAGGACCTCGGCACTGGCCGACAGAAGTCACGTGGCGTGAACAAACACGTGCAAAGCCCAAGGCTAGGGAGATGCTGCGGTTCACACATCTTTGTGTTCGCATAGCCTACTGCCCTACTTAAGACCTATATAAGCCTTGGACAAAAACTTCACACCAGAGCTGTCAGAACCACAGCGCCCTCAGGCAAAGCTGCTCTCAAAAAACCATAAGGCCCATATCCAAACATCCCCTGACAACGAGTGCTGAGAATGGCCGTAAACCCTAAACCCTAAACCCTCTAGTGGGCACCCATGGAAGCACGCTGCGCAACAAAACGCAGGGCATCCGGCTCCATGCGCTCTTTCATCTCCTCCTCGTCTTGCTTCATCCTAGGCAAGGGTGTATCGGCTTCAAGCAGCCACATGCTTGCTGAAGAGCTTACTACAACCAGGTGCCGGAAGAAGCAGCTATGCTGAAGGAGCCCCGAAGCCCGGAGCCAAACTCAGAAAGCATTCGGGTGGAGTTTTTGGGCTAACTGTGAAAGATTTTCGAGTCCAAGCCTCAGATTTTGCGGCCTGCAGGAATTGGGGGGGGGGGGGGGGGGGAGAGGCCACCAAGGGCACATGAGAGCGGGTCGTGTGCTAGCATGATTGAGGGTTAGTAGGGTGACCGCTGCAGACCTGTTAAACGGTTTTGGGTTTAGGGTTAGGGTTTAGGGTTTAGGGCATTCTTGCCAGTAGATGTAGCACAACACTGATTTGCTTTTTGTTCATTCCCCGCCCCTTCGCCCGTCTGTCGCAAAAGCTGCCCAGTGGCATGTGAAACCGAAACCCAACCCCTAGCCATAACACTTCAGTTAAACCCCGCGTCCTGAACCCCAAAGCCTCCTTGCGAAGATTGAAACCGCAGCTTGCGCCCTTTGGGGAAAGCTGCTCAAAGAAAATTGTGATGGTGAATCTCTGCAGGCAGAGGGATTTTCAGCTTGCATCGCTCATGACGCACAAATCCCACTGCCCGTAGCGAGGGAGAGGAAACTGGGAAAGAACTGCCCAACTTCGGACATGTTGCCGAATTTCCACAGTTGTCGCATGCTTTGCTTAGGTATCGCAATGATCGAAGAAAACTATGCAGATTGCACGGGTTCGCTTCTTCCACACCATGCACACGGCTCTTACATGCTCACTATTGGCATGAACAAAAGCCCCGAGAGCCGTCATGCGAGACACTCCAACCCAGCCAACAAATACCCCGAGGCTCTAAGGCTGTGGGAATCCCGCCCGACTCGATCGAAGTTTGCAGCTGTTCAGAGTGGAAACTGTGGAAAAGGGGGGGATGTGGCACAAGGCAGTGGGCCAATGGAACTTGCCTTCGTTGGTATACGAGATAAGAGTGTGGCTTCTGCATCATTTCTGCTGGGCTCGGCAACATCTCCGAAGCCTACCTGCTACCCCTGCTCGGCCGGTGCGCACGCAAGCTCCCTGGTGGGGATGCTGCCGTGTTCTTAAACCCAAGTCTAACTGCAACCCGAATTCAGAAATTGGAACTTCAACATCCAAGAAAAGCACTCGCACCGTGAACCATAGAGACTGGAGCTCAAAAGCTGGCGTTCGGCAAGCAGGGGTCTACAAGCTAGCAAAGAAGGAGAAGAAGGCCTCGAAGATCCTCGAAGGAAGGGTTCCCCAACTTGGGACTAATTAATGAGGGTTTAGGTTAGGGTTTAGGGTTTAGGGTTAAGGGTTAAGGGTTTACGGTTTGGGGTTTAGGGTTTAGGGTTTGGGGTTTGGGGTTTTTTTTCACTCCCGCATAGCTGGCCGAGCCGCAAGGGGTTTGGGGTTTGGGGTTTGGGGTTCAGTGAGGAGCGTTGGTGCAGCCATTGGTCGTTGGGACCCTGCATTCGAGAGCTCTCCACCTTGCAGCCGCACGCTTTCTGGCGAACCGCTGCTGCTCAGCCTTCGCGACCCGAAAGCTAGGGTTTAGGGTTTAGGGGTTTAGGGGTGTAGGGGTTTAGGGGTTTACGGCTTTAGGGCTTTAGGGGTTCGGGTAATATATATATATATGTTATATATATATATATTATATAATACATAGGTATAATATATATATATATGTATACACTTGAAGCGCAATTAGTATTGGGTTAGAAGTACCATGAACCTCCAAGTATCAACTTCAGCTCATATGACGTAGGGACCCCAAGACCTAATAACCACCGACCCCTTGTTCATTTCAAGGATGTTCCGAACGATGAGCGTCGGACTAAAGTGGCTAAAGGTTAAAAGGGAACCTCCCCACGCATTTTCGGGGCGCACGATGGTCATAACCTAGCAGCTCAAAACACATGGTATTCCCAGCCGGTGTGAAACGAAGCTTGCCCACACGGCAAGCGGCCTCTGAGGTAGGTTGAGGATTCTCTCTCAACCCAGGACGTCAGAGGGATGCTGCAGATGACACGCGCATGAAGCGGCAGCTCCCCTTTATGAAGATCGCAGCCACTCGCTAGCCTTCGAAGAGTACCTTACAAGAACCGGAAACCTACTTCTTTTTTTCTGTAGGCTCTTAATATAAATCCCCTTACAGAATTCTTAGGGGGGACTCCAAAAAAGGAGTTGCCGCCTCTCGCAGCGTCACTTTGCCGCAGCCTGCGGATTTTGCCTTCAGGGCAGGAAGGAACTCGCAAAACATATGGCGTGTGTATATATATTTATATGCCATTGATACATGTGTGTATATACAAATCAATATAATGGTCTCTATACAAATAATGTTTGTATATTTATGTATTTTGTTTGTATTTATATTTCTATCTACATATGTGCTTATTCTTCTTTTTGCGTATGAAACCGTAAAAAAACCCTAAAAGCAAACTGCAATTCCCCGACACCTCGGTTTAGGGCTTAGGGTATACGGGGCTCCCGTCACTCAAATGAACCCTCGACCCACACAAAACGAGCCTCACCACAGAATCGGTGACGTCGTTCAACTGGTGAGCACGGCCGTGCATTGCTCCTGCAGCCTTGCACAAGGGACATCCTTCAATAGTTACTCTATACATGGTTTGACCTCCCTGAAACAGTCTCGAACAAACCTTGCAGTCATGGGGCATGTTTCTTTCAAAGATAGAGCCACACTCTACCACACCAGGAGTGTGCAATCTTAGACTCTCAGATTGGGGGTCCAGAAGCCTCACATGCTAAGTCAAGCGAAAGAAGCACGGAATACCCTAAACCCTAAACCCTAAACCCTAAACCCTAAACCCAAACTCACGAATTGTGGGGCTCATAGTCCCAGAGCTCCCTTCATCCAAGCTGCTGGCCGGCTCCTTGTGTTCAAGAGCAAGGTGAAAAGGTGGGGCATGATAAAGGGTTTAGGGTTTACAGGGTTTAGGGTTTATAGGGTTTATAGGGTTTATAGGGTTTAGGGAGATATGTAATGACGCCATCGCACAGGTTCGTGGACTACAAGGGGATGATGTTGGGGTCATGTCTTTTGCTCCTATACCGTCATTTCGGGGCAAAGGTTGTCGGACGTTGGATGAGGGTTAAGCCACCAGAGATGCTACCTGATCTTTAGGCAAGGCCAGGGCCCCCCCCCCCCCCCCCGATAAGTATCACTACAATACACCACGGCTTTGCTCGTACTGAAGCACAAGTATGGCATGTGGGCCGAAGAAGATTTTCGATAAGCGCCCTTGAGGACTGCGTAGGCATGAGGGCATGAGCTTTTCACCTGCTTGGATGGAAAGAACCAGCATCGCCTTGGTTTTGAAAAAACAAATACATTGACCGGAGGAGGTCCCTGAATATCTACCTTCTTCTCCGACCTTGTGCATGCAGGAGGGTGCGAGTACCGATGCCTTAACACTATGAAACCCCTTGATGTCTATACGACGTGCCTCTGAACACCTCTTCAACACTCAACTTGTGGAATGCAGTTGCATCACAGCGGCGACTCAACGCTTCGTACCTGGTGTCAGATGCGTCAAAGCTACACACCTTATATGCAAGGGGTAAATAGAAACAGGTATACACAGACCAAAAAAAGCACCTTGTGAGGCGTCAAGCCTTCGATCTGATGCTGTACGGGTGCAGAGCAAAATAGAGGTACCATCTGACTCAAGGCGGCTCTACGGGTTTCATGACATGTTCAATGGGCGGCTGCTCTCGTGGTGTCTACTTCGAAAAAAACTCGGCAACGCAAGTACAGTAAGCACGGGCTGGGACAGGTACTGCCTACTCACCGCCGTTGCCAGAAGGGGCTGCGCAGCATAATGGGCTGCTTGAAAACCCTAAACCCTAAACCCTAAACCCTAAATGTTCCTCATTCTCCGCATACGGTCTCGTGGGTTGGGGAGTTGTCGACTCGCGCTCAATCAACACATCCTCCCAAATGCAGGAGAAAAACCCTGCGCACTGAGCCAAAACTACGAATTGCCTAAGAACCCCCCCCCAAAAAAAAATTAAGAAATATTCTTCCTTATTAGGTAATATAGGGGTTATTTTTCTTACCTGTTGACTTTTTTTGGGGGGTTCTTATGAGCAAATAGTAGAAAACAGTACGTGCTTTCTCGGCCGGGCGACGCTTCGCAGCGCCAGACATGGTGATCGGGCTCATTTGCAGGGTTGCTGGCCGTAACCGGCTGGCTGATGATATCTGCCAGGATGTACCAGGATGGGCTATATTAGGGTTTAGGGTTTAGGGTTTAATCCTATGGGCCGTTTTAAGGGGTTATAGGGTAGAATAGCTCATCCTGGTCGGGTCAGACGGTCGGGCAAGACGAGGGCGAGTCGGGATTCTCAACATTTAGGGGGGCAAAAAGGCTGTGTGATGAGCTTGTCGTTTCTAGAAGGCTGACAGCAGAGGGATGCTTCAATGGTACCGCTTAGTGGGTGTTGGGGCGGAGTCAGGATCAGAATTTGGGTTTAGGGTTTAGGGTTTAGGGTTTAGGGTTTAGGGTTTAGGGTTTAGGGTTTAGGGTTTAGGGTTTAGGGTTTAGGGTTTAGGGTTTAGGGCTGCTTTGAATTCTTAAGCTTATGACGGTGGTGAGTTGATCGGGTGCGTCGGCAAAGCCCGCGGGGAAAAGGTTCATACGCCGTCACAGAACTCGAAATCCAAGCCCCACAAACTTCCGTGCACTCAGCTAAACGACTTCCACAAGTATCCGTCAGAAGCACAAAGCCTCATTGAATTTGAGCATGTGGAACCGGCCTTTCAGTGAGACAGCCGCCGGCACGGTGAACTCTTGCGAATGACCCCGATGTTTCACACGACCTGAAGGAAGGATGGAGACAAGCCAGCTTTGCAGGTGGCGGTCTGGGCTTCAGGGTTCTCGACTCTATATCCCCAGGCCCTTTTAGCCTTAACCAGACTGTCCTGTGAAGCCAACAGAACTCGCGCTTGCTCCCAACCCAGCCTTTCTAGACCCTT